ATATTCCATAGATTTCTAGGGTAAGGACATTTGTGAGTTCCAACAAAACACACCAAGATATATATGGTAGCATTGAATAAAGACCATTGGTTAATTCTTTTCTGTAAAAAATCCAGGCAAAAAGAATGTTTGTGGAAGAACAATGTATCTAAAAAAGAACATGTTATATTAAAAACAGAGTTATACTGAGAGTTGAATAGCATACAAGTTTAATAATTATAGTTTGTCACACAATCAGTCCAATGTTTAGACTAAATTTGGAAATCACTTTATTGTTTGTATTATTATTATTCTCATGAGATTACAAAAAAAATTAAAATGATATTAATAGGGAAATTTGCAGAGGAAAAGTATCTGAAAGGAACACTAAATAAATACATAAATATTAAATACCTATGTAAGGTACATGAAGATTTTTATTATGGCATATTCACATCCAAATGAAAGATCCATATGCTCACATGATAATAAAGGACAGTAAAATTAATAACATGTATATATATTTTCACAACCTAATAGTATCTTGAGGGACGCAACCTTGTCAATCAGAAAGGTTGGCAGTTCGAATCCCTAGCGCTGCATAACGGAGTGAACTCTTGTTACTTATCCCAACTTCTGCCAACCTAGCAGTTCAAAAGCATGTAAAAATGCAAAAAATGCACTCTCTTCGTATGCACGGCAAGGAGCTTACAGATAATCCTTGAATCATAATTGTAATGGAGACTGTCATTATGATTGTAAGTTGTAACAGTCAATTTTATGGTTTTTGCAGCAGTTGCTAACAAACACTGTAGTTCTTAAGTGAGCCCATTATTCATTATGGTGTGACTGTCAGCAAAAACTTCATAAAATGTAGTCGCATGTGGGTTGCTGCAAACAGGTATAAATGCAGCAGCGTTTCCAAGTGCCCCAAGTGCAGTCATGTGAATGTGGGGTAGGGTGCAACTGTTGGAACTTCAGATTCAGGCATGTTCCCTTTTTCCGGCAAGTTGTAACTAAAAATGGTCATAAGTCAAAAACTACCTGTAATTCACTCTTTGTGAGTGTGCATTACCTTTTTATTCTATTCCACAACAGTAACAAATGGCAATAACACCAAACTGTAAAATCAGCAAAATGAAGGATTATAATGAATCGTGTAATTTAATGAGGAATACTAGGAAAATATAAGACAAGGCATAGGAGAAACTGGCATGTATACGGATATAGTGACAAGAAACTGATCTTTGGATAAGAAGCCAGGAAAGGCATTAGAAGCCAATATGTTTACTGATCCAGGGCTTAGTAAGCAAGCAATGAAGATATGTCCCATTTAATCATGACAAGTTTAACACCAAATTCTGACATAAATTTCTTAGAACAACTATTTTATTGTGAGTAGTGTCTTGAAGCTTTTTATATAAAACACTCTATCTGGAAGTAACTTAGCAAAGGAAACAACATCCATATCCTATGTGCTCTTCTGACAGCTTGTCAAATTCTGCCCTAAACGTTCAGGCTGCTTCTTCAATTCTGACCAAGGTTCTAAATTGACTTTGTGTTTTCCTGGACCTCCTATCCTGGGACTCTGTTTATAAATGAACTTTTGCACTCTTTATAAAATATATTTTCAGCCCAAATCCCTGGCTGTATATTACCATAATTGCGTGGAGAGGTTTTAATTCACTGAAATGTTTGCTTTAACTCTGCTAAGCCCTCTAGTTTAGACATGGCCTAAACTATGAGATTACCTTATAGGTTCTTCTAAAGTTCATTCAGTCAATAAAGAAATATGTTCATGTATTTTCTATCTTATATATAAGACCTAAGCTATTAAAAAGTAAACTGAAAAATGGCTCAAGCTTTCTTAGGTCAATAAAGTACACTGTTAAAGGATTCTTTCAAAGTTTTTACTTCAAATATACAACATAAGAAACATAATTCTTATTTCTTCTACAGTTGTGCTGGTGACATTATATATAGATCTTTCTCTTTCAGGATTTCAGCTAAATAGTCAAAATGCTGTAATCTCATAAATACTCTGCTCTGTTTTTTCTCTTACATTAAAAGAGGCTTATAATTTTGTTAGATAATTTACTGGTTCATATAATCTCTTTCTCACAAATACATATAACACATCTGCATACCCACCCATTCTTACACAAGGAATGAAAAGGGATTTAGGCATCTGAGCATTAATGATGACAGTAATTGGTGCATATTTCTAGATGCTTAATAGCATATCCAGATAAAATTCTTTACCACCTTTTCTCATTGGGACTGCAACTTCCTAGATCTCTGTACTTTTTTTCTCTTGCTCAGTTTTCATCTCTCCTGCATTTTGGATAGCAGTGAGAAAAATGAGAGTGCATCAAGTTTCAAGTTTATTAGGATTTGTATGCCGCCCACTCCCATAGGAACTCTGGGCGGCTCACAACAGACAAGAAACATTTAAAATTTAAAAAACAGAATAAAAAATAAAATACAGTATTAAAATTCACATCACCCATTCCATCTAAACAGGGCTGGATATCAATCAACAGCCCCAGGCCTGCCGGAACAGCCAGGTCTTGACGGCTGTACGGAAGGCCGGGAGAGTGGTAAGGATCTCTGCAGGTAGATTGTTCCACAGGGCCAGCGCAGCAACAGAGAAGGCCCTCCCCCGGGGAGCCACCAGCCAGCATTGTCCGGTTGATGGCACCCGGAGGAGGCCTAACCTGTGCGATCTTGTTGGTCGTTGGGAGGTACATGGCAGGAGGCGGTCTCTCAGGTAACCAGGTCCTAAA